GTGTGTGTGTGTGTGTGTGTGTGTGTGTGTGTGTGTGTGTGTGTGTGTGTGAGAGAGAGAGAGACAATTCAGAGTCTTCTGTTCTTGCTTGGCTTTTTCTTTTAAGGCTGATGCTCTGTCACTTGAGCCATGCCTCCACAGCTGGCTTTTTGCTGATTAATTGGAGATAAGAGTCTTTTGATTTGTCTGCCTTTGAACTGTCATCCTCAGATCTTTGTGTGTGTGTGTGTGTATGTGTGTAGGTGTAGGTTTTGGGGCTTGAACTCAGGGCCTCAAGCTCTTGCTTAGTTGTTGTTGTTTTGGTTGTTGTTGTTGTTCAAGGCTGGCACTCTGGCAGTTGAGTTATGATGTTCAGTTCTGGAAAGTAACCTTTAGTGTTTTGTATGTTTGTTTTTTGGTGCCAATACTGGAGCTTGAACTTAGGGCCTCGTGCTCTCAGTTGGCTTTTTTGCTTGAGGTTGATATTCTACCAGTTGAGCCACACTTCCACTTCCATCTTTTAAAATTTTTTATTTTTACTTTTTATTTTTTGTCCATCCTGGGGCTTGAACTCAGGGCCTGCGCATTGTCCCTGAGCTCTTTTGCTCAAAGCTAGTGTTCCACCACTTAGAGCCACAGTGCCACTTCTGATTTACTGGTAGTTAATTGGAGGTAAGAGTCTTATAGACCTTCCTGCCTGAGCTGGCTTTGAACTTTGATTCTCAGATCTCAGTCTCTTGAGTTGATATGATTACAGGTGTGAGCCACCAGCGCCAGGCTTATTTTTTTTCTAATTTGTAACTTGTTGCCACTTGTTTCTTAATGTAGATTTACTGAGGTGTGAGATAATGAGATAGTCTTAAGATTGTGGCAGAGGTTTTTTTTCCCCCCTAAATATTATGAAGTTTTTTAAACCCACCATATGGTGATAGGATTCTATTTATTGCAGAAAACACAACAAAGAGCCATATGTTAAGGTTTACTCTAAGTACTGAATTTGATAGAGGGTCTTTTTCATTTCATTTCATTAAGCCCAAGATCAAGGCACTAGGTATTACTGTGGCGTGGCTTGGCAGTTCTTTGTACAACTACTTAAAGATTGAAAGAAATACATAATGGGTATTAGAGATATTTCATGCTTTGTTTTCTTTAGTTTGGCAAAGCTAAGCAAAGCAACATTCTGTTTTAAACTATCAATACTTGCTATCTTCATGTTTAATCCTCTAACCTCTTGACTAACATTATATCTTATTGCATTTGAACATCAATGAGACCTCAGTTAATACTTTGCATAGATTCTAGTTAGTCTGGAGGTTGAAGGGTAAATATGTCCTCTTGGTGTTTTCTTCTTGGCTGACACATTAGTTTATTCACTCTGCTTCAAGTGGATAAATTTCTTTGTCAGCCAAGACCTTAACAAAGAAGCTGGGTAAGTATGTGGATAACATAAGCAAAACTATTTTAGATATTTAAAAGTATTATCTGAGTATTACCAAAAGTAAAGCAGTGAAATTTTATAGTGTATCATTTTTCTTCTTATTCTATGAAGGGATAATTGAGATGAATAGCATTTTGTAATTTTAACTTCTGGAAAATAACTGTGTGAGGACTATAGCATCACTAGTGCGCATCTCACCCTTGGCCGGTCCTGGAGATGACTTGGTGAAGATGAATGCCTTCTGTTTTACAACAGTAGAGAGCTTGCGCATGTTACACAGGGCTTCTCTGTTGAAACTGTACATGTTCACTGGATGAGTAATTTTGTTTCACAGATGCAGCATTTAAAATCCTGAATCCTATGACTGTTCCGAGATTTTTTAGGCTGAATAGCAACAATGCCTTGATAGAGTTCTTGTTGGAGGTGAGAAGGAGTCTGTTTCATTGGTGGTGGGTACTAAGCCACATTCTTTACATGTCCACAATTTCTTGGCATGTAAAAAAAAACAAACAAAACAGGAGGAAATTGTCATCTTTTGTTTTTAGGGTACTCCTGAGATAAGAGAACATTATCTTGACTCTAAGAAAGATGTAGACCGGCACCTGAAATCCGCCTGTGAACAGTTTATTCAGCAGCAGACCAAGCTATTTGTTGAGCACCTCGAGGAGTTCATGACAAAGGTACAGATGGAGTTATCTCCTTGTGAAGGCATTTACATTCTTCCCTAGCTTTCCTTTTGACTTGCTCCCTGGTGAAAACTCACTGGCATAACCAGACAGTAAGCCCATGCTTTAGTGACTCTGTTTAGGAAATCACTGTTTCCTGCATTGGAAGTTTTTGATTTGTTGACTTCTAGGTATGCTGTAGAGTTTTAGTTGTGAGGGGGAAGAGCACAAATACTATAGAGGTATTTTTGTGCTATCTACATTATGAGTTATCTGCATATGGGCAGGGACTCAGCGCTGTCTGGTAACCTCCCCTACTATTGGGCCTGTGTGGCAGCAACCACAGTCTGTATGTCAGAATTTGCTACTACTTAAATGGGAGATTTTTCTTACTCTAAATGCTAATTTCATTTTTCTGGATAATTGAGAATTGAAGGTTTTCTATTGACATGTTAACTGCTAAATATACACATTAAATATAAGGAGATACTATAGCCAGACTTACATCGCTTGAGCAAGATAGATAGAGAAAGATAGATCATGGCTATTTTGACATTCTTGCTTCATTCCAATTATTATTTTTTAAAATTTTATTGTGTTGTAATTCAATCTAATTTTTTTTTGGTTGGTTGTGGGGCTTGAAGTCTGGGCCGAGCTCTTTAGCTCAAGGCTAGTGCTCTACCATTTGAGCCACAGCGCCACTTCTGATTTTCTGGTGGTTAATTGGAGATAAGAGTCTCATGGACTTTCCTGCCTGGGCTGGAACCGTGACCCTCAGATCTCACCCTCCTGAGTAGGATTTGCAGGTGTGAGCCACTGGTGCCTGGCCCGATCTAATCATTTAAAAAATAAAATAAATGCCATTACTCAGGCTTTAAAGATGTTTTAAAGTCTTCAAGTGAACTTTCATTAAGTCTCTTTTGTTTACATCAGACTAATGTTAGAGGTTATCATATAAAAAATAAAGATATGGTAGCATTTTCTCTCAAATTGGATGCATCTTAACTGGTTAACTGATTAGACAGGATGTGTCTGGAACAACAAAGACACAACTGTACAGGTTGTTCATTAAGAGCTTGATGCTGGTTATCAGCTAGTGTGCCTGCAGCCTGTGGTATAGACGGAAGATGCCAGTAAAAAATAAGAAAAACAAGCTAGCCACCAGTACCTCACATCTGTAATCCTAGCTACTTAGGCTGAGATCTGAGCATTGCAAATTAAAGTCAGTGTCGGCAAGTTATGAATCTTGAACTCAGGGACTGGGTGCTGTCTCTGACCCTTTTCATTCAAGGCTAGGCTACGTTAGCCACAGCACCACTTCTGTGGGTTTGAGTAGTTTATTTGAGGTTAGAGTATCATAGATTTTCCTGCCTGGCTGGCTTTGAACCCTAGGTTTTGACTTTTTAAAAAAGAGTGTAAGTACTGTTTATAATAAACAGATAAATGACCATTTTTACTAAAATTATCCTCATAGAAAAGTAGTTTGTAGATAGTAATATGATTTGGGGGAGAACATTCACCTAATACTGGTGGAAAGTATTGTAGATGAATATTGTATAATGTCAGAGCAGAATGAATCTTGTGAAGTCACCAATTTGATTGTAAGGAAATCTACGATTGAAGGGTTATTCTAAAACAGCAGAATTTTTCTTTTTCTTTTTTTTTTTTTTGGGTCCGGTCATGAGGCCTGAACTCTGGGCCTGGGCGCTGTCCCTCAGCTCTTCAGCTCAAGGCTAGCGCTCTACCACTTGAGCCACAGCGCCACTTCCGGCTTTTTGCTTTTTGCTTATGTGGTGCTGAGGAATCGAACCCAGGGCCTCTGGCTTGCAAGGCAAGCACTCTACCACTGAGCCACCTTCCCAGCCCAACAGCAGAATTTTTCTAAAAATAAAGCGAATCACAATTCACTAATAGAGTTGTCCAAATTGATATTAGTGTGCATTTGGTAAGTCTGGCATAACTCTGGTTATACGTTTTAAATGTCCCTAGTCACTAAGAACACTAAAAGGAAACAGATTTCTATAGAAAATCTTCTAATTTGGAATTATATAATGGTTCTCCAGGGATGTGCAATACATATATAGAAGGGATCCCTAGACAGCAGTTCATGGAATTTTTTTTTCCTGTGTAGCTCAGGTGTAGTCTTAAGTAGGACCATCATTCAAAAATAGTAGTAAGCTTAAGAGAAAGAGCAGAGAACTTGGGCCTGGACTCCCTTCTACTAGCTAGCTGAAATTGAAGGCAAGTCATTTTTTCCCCACCTCTGTTTTCTAATCCTGCAGGAGATAGCAGTATCTATCCTCCCTGCTTTAGTGGGACTACATAACATCATATGTATGAGTACTCTGTTACTATAAACTGCTGCAGAAATGTGATTTTGTGCTAAAGTACCCACATTTCTTTATAGCTAAGCTAAAAGCATTTCTTTCTGATGGGGACTAGTTTGTCAAAAACTCAGAAGACACACACACACACACAGAATCATTTTCTTTCTAGCACTTTGATAAGATTTTGTAAGTTTATTCTTAGTATTCCCTCTGAAGTGTTTCTAGTTTCCTCAAAAACTATATATTTAAATGTTTCTCATAACAGAATTTGACCTATAAACTTAGTTCTTGCTCCTAAGGAGCTAGTTTTGCTCATTCCCTAGTCTTAAAAAAAAAAAAGGATAAGGTTAATCTAGTTAATACATGGACAAGCAAAACTGAACACAGTTCTCAGAAGAAGAAATACAAATAACTAATAGATGCATGAAGAAATGTTCAATATCCTTAGTCATAAAAGAGTGAGAGTGAAAATCAAAATCACTATTAGATTCTATCACACTCTAATCAGAAAGGCCACCATCAAGAAAACAAACAAATGTCGGAGGGGTTATAAGGGAAAAAGGAATTCTGATAGACTATTGGTAGAAATATAAACTTGTGCAACCACTATGGAAATCAGCATGGACTTTTCTCAAAAACTAAAGGTAGATTTACTTTATAATCTCATTCCATGATTGAGCATACAACCGAAGGACTATAAGTCAGTATATAAGAATACCTTCATATATCACTGTTCAAAATAGCCAAATGGAATCAGCTGTGGTGCCTGACAATAGGTGAATGGATAAAGAGGATATGGTGCACGTATACCATCGACTATACACAGCCATAAAGAAAGATGGAATACCATTTGCAGGATTGGATAGAATTGTAGAACACCAGTTAGATGCCAGTGGTTAATGCCTATAATCCTAGCTACTTAGGAGGCTGAGATCTGAGGATTGTGGTTCAAAGCCAGCTGGGGCAGGAATGTTCGTCAGACTCTTTTTTTTTGGGTCCGGTCATGGGGCCTGAACTCTGGGCCTGGGTGCTGTCCCTCAGCTCTTCAGCTCAAGGCGAGTGCTCTACCACTTGAGCCACAGCG